AGGATAAATTAGTCCTAAGGTTGCAGACAATGATCTGGTACATCAGTGATGACCAGTGATGTTAACACAGGTTACAGGTTCAGAGTGTTTAAAGTGGAACACCCAAGCAGAGGTATTAGGTATGGCAATTGGTAAGGAACCTTTGGGCAGACTCCTTAAATAGATAATATAGAAAAGTTACACATGTAGCCAATTGTACACTCTCCTGTAATGGTTCATTAAATCACAATACTGATAAGTGATTAATAAAAGTCAAAAGACCAAAGAGGTCACCTTAATACCAAAAAAAAAAAAAGATGTATAAAAGAACATATGATTAACCAGGTTACTAGAATCATTAAAAAAAAAGAATACATAAGTATACCATACTAGATTATCTAAATTAGAAGTCTAGAAAGTTAGTTAGTTTCAAGTTACAACTAGTAAAGAATACTGAAGAAAAAATCAGAAAGATGAGTACCAAGATTTAGATAAACTTTATATGAATAATAGCAGTTTAAAAGATAATCCTAACTGCAAGTATTAATTTTAACCATAGTATTAAACCAGATTACAGTAAAAAAGAATATGACTCACTCTGATAGATTTGTTTCAAGAATAAAAATAGTTTAAGGATTATAATTTTATAGTTAAAAATGAATAGATCTGGGTCTGTGACCTAGTGAAATTAATACTAGGATTAGATCAAAAGGTTTAAATGAAACATTAAAGTAAGGATGTTAGATATAACAACTAGTGAAAAATCTTTAAACAGACTTCTTAAATAGGTAATATAGAAAAGTTACATGTATAACCAGTTGTATACTTATCTGATAGTTCAATATAAATACATCTGTATAAAACATATACTTGACATAAGTATTAATAAAAAGCTAGGACCAAAAAGGTCACCTTAATACCAAAAAAAAAAATTAAACATTTTAGTATTATATTTTAAATGATATCTAAATAATTAATACAAAAATAATTAATACAAAATTTATTTAAATACTTTATTTTTAAACTATTAATTTTTATAATTTACATCTACTTATATTCATCTACATCTGATATTTCTTCAATTATATAATTGATTCACTCTTTAAAATCACTTTCAAGCATAAAAATATCTATAATACAAGAAAATTCAAATTCCAAAGGTTTTAAATTTTCTTGATTGTCTTGATTTTCATATACTTTTTCATCTTCAAATGAATCAAAACATTGCATCATATATTCATAAAAATTATGAAAATCCATGATTATTTCATTATCAGATTTTTGAGAAAACTTTTTACTCTTAGTTTTTTGGTTTTGAACGTGACATGCATTACGAGTATGATTTTTTTTTTTTTATTAATAAACAAACTACTAGAAAGAGTTTTTTGCAGTAATCCTGTGTACTATTATTATCGGTAAAAGGGATCGAATCCATTTTATAACAGTTTACGTATAAAGTAATATCTTATATTTATAGTAAATTATCTGTATGATGACAAATAAATATGCGTGTCAATGTGAGTATGTGACATAATAAATGATTTACATAGATCACGTGGAGGTGAAACTTTTTATGGTGATACTGGGTAAGATGCCAATCACAACGATCTTCACGTAATTATACTTCGCTTCCCTATTTGTATGTTGAAAAAATCGCGTAATATTATTTTTAAATAATAGAAACGAATTTTCCCATAACCTTGTTTGTTAGTATAAAACTTTTACGAAACATTTAAGTTCAGGAAAGTAATTTGATCACATTTATCCTACGATCTTGGGATTTCATGTATGTCAGATATGTGAACTTTCCTTCAAACAGACTTAAAACCGACTAAACCGAGCTGTTTAACGTTCCTACTATGCAACATCTCATTATAATATCATTCCTCCGATTCGCAGCGATATATGTATGCTCTTTGTAAATCGACGCGTCAATTTACGGTAATATCGATAACATAATGATGAGAAACCTTAAAATTTTGCCATAATCGCAATAGGTTTTAATTATTGACCTATTTGCATGTTTGAATTATTTAATTCGACAATTTAAATGTAAAAAAGAATATAAAGTGCAAATATGTTAGATGTCATTAAAAAATCAAGTAATTACTAACGTTTATTTTCCTGCATATTTACTAATAAAAAGTTTAACCCCAAATATCAAAATTGGCATCGCTTCTACAATAATATTTTTCCAATATTCCTTTTTAGATTTCATTTGTTCAATTTGTTTCTGTAATTTGAGTCTCGCTTCTTCCTCCGAAGATTTTAACAATGCAATAGCTAAATTATGATCTTCTTGGAGATCTTCGAATATTTGAGAATTTTTAATTTGTTGATCAATTAAACATTTATTTATTTCTTTAATTTTCATTTCAAGCTTTATGCTAATTTCTTCATGTTCTCTTTTAAGATTTTCCATTTCGGCAATCAATTCTTGTTCTCTTGCCGTTAATTCGAGTAACTTTGTTTGGGACTCTTGATTTGCTTTTATTTCTTCAGCATATTTTTGTTCAAGTATTCCGTATAATTGGAGAATGTCAGCTGCGTCTTGATATTCTTTGGATTTGAATCCTGCCATTACCCTTTCTGATTCTGGTCCTTCCAACATATTATCCAACATTTCTCGTTCGAATATCGCAATAGCTCCTTCAAAATCCTCTCTAGTCTATAAATTAGTGAAATTTTTTAATACTATATTATTATAATTACCGTTTACCACACGGTACCCACAGGTACTATTCGATTTAAAAAATAAAGTTCTCGAATAAGACTCTGGGTACTTATGCAGTGGAAAACGGTATTATTATAGTTAATAAGACTAATTACAATTATGATAAATACTTACCTTAAAAATGGATTCAAAAGTAAGACCATGTTTAACATAAGTTTTCCAGAATTTTATTCCCAAATCAAGGTTATATTGATATAAAGCTTTTGAATTCTTTTCATGAAACAAAAGTCTATCCTTTTCGATCATATCATGAAATTCTTGTTGAAATTCATATAATTGAGTTGCTGATCCTAATATTCTGTTAAAGAATTCTGTTTTTACTTCATCAAAAGCTTTGTTATGCATTTCATTAAAATCTTTCCAAAGCATTGGTAATTGGTGTTGTTGTATTTCTAATTCCATGAATCTTTGATACATTTCATTACAACATTGTATGGATTTTTGTGCAACATATTCTATCACAGATTTATATTCGTCCGGTATTGATATCTGAATATGATTTTCTGGGTCGTTCAATGATCTGACACATTCTTGAAGAAATTTTGCAAAAGAGATACCAGACATTGGTGATGATCCTATATATTTTGGTTTAAGGTTGTTAAAAATTCCATTCACGGCTGTTATCACCTCTACTATGAAATCTTGTTCAAATTCTGGTGTAGATGCTTTATCCATGTGTTGTAGTTGTTCTTTAGGAAGTCCAGGATACTACTAACAAGAAATATACTGTACATAATTTGTTATTTTAAAAAAAATTAATGTGATAAGGGAAAAAAATTAGTCATACCGACAGACCATAAACTTCAAAATCTGCAAAACGTTCTTTTATTACATCCGAGGCTGTATATGGTAACGAATTAATTATTTTTTTACAATAAATACAAGCAATTATAGTCGACGCTGCCTAAATTTATACTGCTTAATTGCATATAATTTATAAATGCATAAAAAAATATAATTATCGACACGATTTTGATTCTTATCGTTATTGTCTAAAATGTCCGGACCCCTGAAAAATTTCTAACGAGTGATATGCAATTAGACAGTATCGGTATCGATTGTACAAGGGTTTTTTTATATTACCTTCAACGTTAACTTCATTTAATTTTTCCAAAAAATAAGTTCGAAAATCATTAGGAGCCTTTAGCATGAAATCACGAAGTAATACCACCAATCTTGGAAGGAATTTACAATTATTTGGTAATTTGATATATTTTGACAAATCATTCATTAAGAACAGTTTTCCAATATCGGCTTTACCAATAATTCCATTAATATTATAAACAAAGGAAGACGATATTACTAAACATAAAATAAAAAGTTTCGTTGCCCATTGTTGACTTTGTTGAGGTTCATCAATGCCTTCACAATCAAGAACGATAACGCGTTTTCCATTATGAAGGAATGGAGTATCCCACATATGGATTCCTCGAGTGCATCCATTCACCTATTGTTGGAAAGTATAAATGACAACTTTAAAATGAAATTTAAATGCATATATCTATATATGTATACACATAAATATACACCTCTGCTCCAAGGGCGAAACCGTCATGACGTCCATGTAAAACATTCGCGAACCAAGATTTACCACGACGATAAGATCCAACTATTGATCATAATTTTTTGTAAGTCAACTAAATACTTTTAAGTGCATGCGTGCAACATATGCATAAAAATTAACTGAACATTACCGATAGCAATAATAGCCAGTGGTTCGTTAATCCTTTCAATTATGTCCAACGCTTGTCTTTTGAGGATTATCTGATCATCTTTCACATTATATTCTAAGAGTTGAATTGGTTTTCCTTTACGACATTGGATTTCTTCGCCAAAAATATTTATGTTTTCGATAAATTCAAACTCTTCATTTTCTTCCATGTTTAATGAAAATATGTGGACGAATAATATAAATAATATATATCAAGAATGCAAAATGGATTTATTCACTTAAAAAGAAGAAAAAAACTTTTGTTTAAATAAATAAATAAATCGTCCGGTAAGATACTCCGTAAATAATAATTTTATTCACGGTTTTCGTACGCATATACAATTAATAAATCCTTTAACCACAATACATTTGTGTTACTTTCAGTTTTTAAACTTTGAAAATACGCCGATTGTTTTTTTTTTTTTAAAAAAAAGAATTCGACTTTGATTATCCTTAAAGTACTTGGACTAATACATATTGAGATTCCTAACTCATGAAGTGTCCCACTTCATTTATCAGAATTGTTATTTTACATATTATTCGATTATGCGGTTTCAAGTGGTTAAATAAAGATTTCACATCGATTACATAACAAGCGAAATTAGATAGGCACGTAAGTGTACTCGTTATAAAGAATATGAGTCCTTTTTTTAAAAAAAAAGTATCGAGGAATTTAGATTCCATACTTAATGTTTTATTATATACGTATACGTATATTTATATTTGTAACCAAAGCAAAACCCTAGCTGGCCAATACTGTGTAAAACCGTCATGAAGAATTTAACCACAAAATCCAAGTAATTCACACAAAAGCTAATTTTTGGTCATCCGAATTTATTATCATTATTACAATAGATCAGTCCGGTCCAATCTGTCCCAGTCTCTAATAAACCTGTCTGTTAATGTTTTCGTTCTGGCCTAAGTCCTAAAATGACTAAATTACGCAGCTTAGTATGGTATTATGTAAAATACCAAATTTTAAGATCCATGTCATTAAGGTTAGCAGACGAGTATGTTATTTGTATGGTTTTTACAATAGGTAAGTACGTACAGTGCACCTCCATACCATAAAATTCTGGTCATAATTCTTTAAGAATGGTCCTTAGTTATATTAAATCTGATCATTCTATTGGCTAAAAATATTTAAATCATATAAGATCAGTAATTGAAACATGCGATTATGTAGTTTTTTTTTTTTTTTTTTTTTTTTTTTTTTTTTTTTTTTAACGTTGGCGTTAGATAAATTTAATTAGTTTAATAATTTTACATGGCATTCCCCAAAATTTCGGGTCAGAATTGCCGACGCTAAGTAATACCTCTATTATGTCTACAACATTAGCAGTTAAATCATAGGTTAAAAAATTTCACTGGCAATCAAACTTCAAAATCGCGTGTAATCCAAAAAAATAAAATAAAATAAAATAAATAAATAAATAAAAGCTTATAACTAGTGACACAACATGAAAATCAATTAATTGGCCAAGTTAGCAACTAGTTAATTTTAAAAGCAACTAGAAGCAACCAATCATTGAATGATTATACAGTAAAACCTCCATAAGTGCACGCTCTTGGGACCGAACTTCAACAGCATGTACTTAGAGAATAATAAGAAAATATGCACTTATGAAGGTCGTGTATATATGTATTTGAACCAGAGTTTTGATCTTTTGAAGAAGTTAAATTAAATTATTTATTTTTATAAAATTTTTCTTGAAAAAAGATAGAAGGTAACAAAAGTTTATATATAGTTCTTCATGTAAGTTTTACAATTGTATAATAGTTATTTTAAGTTTTTTTTAAGTTAAAGTTTTTATCTTCAGGTTGTGACTTTTTTATTCAAGTTTATAAGACATGAGTGCTTCTAGAGGTTCTCTTATATTAAAAGTTACAATTAGCCATATGTGCATTTTTGGTACCTAATTTAAGTAGTCTACCTATACATTACAATACAGATTTTACACTAAATATCATACCTGTAAGCTAACTATGGGTTTTACCTATTTAAACCTTCTACATATGTAATTTTTTTGTATTATAAGAATATCTCAAAGCATCACTTATCTAAGTTTTTAATGCTTATCAGTACATTTAGAATTACTTTATTCTTGATAGTAGACTTACTAGAGTCTGTTATATTTCACTTACAGTTGACCTAGTTTTATGCAACATATTATAGTTATCTAACACTTACAATTACAGAAGTTATTTGTTTAATTATTATATTATACTATTTTTATTTTTGTAAAGTTCATTAGGATTTTAGTATCTATCTTTTCAATATCTTTTTTATTATTACCTACTTCTGTATCTTTTTTCTTTAGCTAGTCTGACAGTCTAATTGATTATATGTTCTTTTATATATATTTGTTTTTATAAAAACAATTCATAGATTTCAAATAATCTGATAATATTATTGAAAGTTTATATTACCTTTTTATTTAAGAATTTTTAAGTGAGTTTTTATCATCTCAGTTTCTTAGTCTTTTATATTTGATGATTATATTATAGATTTATACTAAAATTTTATACAATACTAGTTATTAATATTCTTTTATATATATATAATATTATACTTGCATAGATGTTCTAAATTCTCAATATCAGATAAGATCCAACTTAGTATACTTGAATTACAGTTGTATAAGGCCATCTGATCAATAAAAGATAGTTATTATAATACTAATATAATTTTCAAATTTTGTTATAAATAAAATTTGAACCTTAAACCTGTCACTTGGAAGATAACAACCTAATCATTATACTAAAATTGATATTTTTTTATTTCAAGTTTTTTAATAATTTTGACTTGAGTTTTTTCATAATTATTTTTAAAAAAAACTTTCTGATTTAAATTTTTTTTTTTTTTTTTAACATTAAAGTTTCTGTTTTTGAAGATCAATATTTTTATTCAAGTATTTGGACACAGATGCCTCCAGAGGCTTCTATATATAGGAGGTTACAACTAATTACATATGCACTTTTGGTGTCTAATTTAAGTAGTTCACTTATATATTACTATACAGGTTCTATACTAGGTGTTATACCTGCAAGTCAACTACAGGTCTTGCTTATTTAAACTTTCTGCATATATAATCTGATTTATAATCATAAGAACATCTTTTAGACTACTCTCATTCAAAGTACCTGATTTTTTCAAGACTTTTAGAACCAGTTTATTCTTAACAGAAAACTTACTAGAACCTTCTGTATCTTATATATAGCTAATCTAGTTTTATGCAATATACTGTAGTTATCTAACACTTGCAATTACATGAGTTACTTGTTTAATTACTATGTTATACTATTTTTACTTTTGTAAAGTTTACTAGAATTCTAATACTTATCATTGTAATGTCTTCTTTATTATCTTTTACTAACTACTACTTAAAACTAATAGAACTTCCTTGACTTTCAATCTAGTTAATCCAGTATTGTATACTTATATATCTTTTTTTTTTGATAATTCTGATGGCCTAATTGGTTATGTGCTTTTTTATATATCCTGATATCTGATTTATCTATCTATTTCTTTAGGATGTTTCATAAACTTCCATCAGTCTAATTATACTGTCAAAAGTTCATGCTATCTATTTACTTAAGAATTTTCAAATAGACTTTCGATACTTCAGTTTCTTAATTATTGTTTCTAGTGGTCTTATTATAAGTTTGCACTGAAGTCTTATATGATACCAATTATTAACATTCCTCTATATATATGTAATGTTACACTTTATATAGATGCCCTAAGCTCCTATTTGAGATAGTGTGACTTAGGGTTACAGATACACAAATCCAACTGATCATTAAGAGACAGTTTGTCATAACACAGATTAATTTCCAAATTTCATTATAGGTGGGATTTGAACCTTAGACCTGCTACTTGAAGGATGACAACCCAACCACTACACTAGAATTGCCATTCTTCTGATTTAAATATTAAACAAAGAAAGAAATATACTTAAATAGAAATACTTGTCCTCTTTTCTAATCATCACAAGTACATTTATTTTTTAGTATTTTAAATCTATTTAGAATTCATTAATAACAATTTACTTTATATAAGATTAGGAGTATTTATTTATATTTTATTATAATGGTTTTCTGTAGTTTGGTTTGTTGTTTTTGTTAACCAGAAGATTATCAGAAAAAAATTTAAATTAAAATAATAAAAATAAATTATTATTTTTATTAAATAAAATTTTTAATTATATAAAAATTTTTTACTTTTATAATTTAATTTATAATTTTATTTTACTGAATTTTTAATTACTAAAATTGATGGTTAAATAATAATTATTTGGAAAATTTTTTACTAAATTAGGTAAAATTTTTATTATAAATACATTAAAATAAGTATTTTTATATATATTATTTTTAAAACTGTAGAATCAAAAATGATTAGGTATGACAGTTAGTGTAGAACCTTCAGGTAGACTACTTAAATTAGACAATGACAAAATTGTACGAGTGGTTAGTTGTACACTCTTAAATTAAAAAAAAAAAGATTGAAATAATGCCTGACAAAACTTATTGATTTAACCCACATATAAAGTTTTTTTATGCACATTTTTTTTGGTTTGCGCCAATAAAAATTATTCGAATTTAAAACACTGCCCAGCACTGTCCGAGCTCAAAAAGATTTTGCGGGTTTGGTTCCGGGCCCATCCAAGCCCGGTCCATTCTGGACCCTAGTCAAATCACTTATAACTCAAAATTTAGTCTATGAAACTGTCTTCTGCGCACTAACAAAAAGTTTTCCTCGTAAAATTTTGGTCTAATTATAATCCTTTAACTCTAACATACTAGCAAGACCCTAATTGTGAAATTTGCTTTTTCTTGGCGAAATTTTTTTTTTTTAGACTGGTGATAATTGAACCTTATCGAGGATCATCCGCGCGGCACTAGGTTTAATGAATAATGTCCGTCTGTCCGCCCACCAATCTCATAAATGATTATATAATTTTAATTCGCTCCAGATTTACAACAGCACCTGTTTTCCTCGTTTTAAAAATGTCTAATAAAATAAGTTTTAAATCATATTTTTTAAATAAAGAATATATAATTAAAATTAATATTTAAGATTTTATTAAAATTTTAATTTTTTTTAAAAGTTAAACGCAAATTTGCCTGCTAGACAGATTAAGGGATAATAGCTTGACAGAAATTCAAAAAAACATGTCTAATGTTTTTATCACAACAATTCACTCAAAATGTAAAATAAAAAATCTAGCCAAACGTCCGCAGGTCCAGGGATACACCATCTTAAACAATCTCGACCATCAATATGACCATCTGCTCTTGTGATCATAACTGACTCCATGTCTAAAAATACCCCACCAAAACCTTCAATAATTTCTTTAGCGATCAAATTTTGTCTATGAATATCACCCCAATGATAAGGAAGATTATCCAACTCTGTAGCATTCGGAGGAACGGGCAAAGGTCTATCAATATTTTTGCAGTTTAAATGTCCCAGAGTAGTAGCACGGTAAATTATAAGATTTTTGTCTGATCTTTTTCTTATAGCTCTAACGGTATCTATCAAACTGTTTCGAAATGTCTCATCGTCATGCCAATGATGTCCTTTATTTAAAATCATAACATTGTATTTAGTGCTAACATGCACCCAAGGAAGTTGGAAATCCTTAATGTCTAATGGTGGAATTTTCTGGTGAGAAAGTATATCATTTCTTATATATTTCATTATTGATATTTTTCTATCCTGATCAGGACTATCTGAGGTAATGTTACAAAGTATGTGATCTTTACATGCATTTTCACCATAACATTGAACAGGTCCTTCGTGAAAAAAATCCAGTAAAAGTTCATGAAATTGAAATTGTAATTTATCTCCAACTATCAAAAATCGATGTCCCGAAATTAGTTCACGAGCTTGCTCGACGTTTATTTTTGGCATAGGGCATTCCTTTGGTGTTTTCCAAACATACTTTGTCGAATCTGGAATTAATTTCCATATTTCTTCCACTGAAATATTACTACTATTTTGATATCTCTTATAACATTTCCCGTATATTGAATCTTGTTTGTGTCGAATTAAAGGTCTTGGTGTAAGATCTAAGACCCAATTACCCTTTGTAATAATGCAATCTAATCGGTTTCGAAATTCGATTAAATTTTCAATGTCCATGATGTGATTAGATCCAGGAATATATGTACTAAATTTTTGATATTCATTGAGATTTTGAATTTTTTTACGAGTTATTTCAACGGCTTTGTGTTCTAATTTTCGACGTTTTTCAGCAAATTCTTGATTTAACTTTATTTTTTCTAAGTTATTGTTATTAAATCTTTCAAATTCTCTCATTCGACCAAATAAATAGATGGCTAAAAAGACTAAAAACAAAATAAAAAGTAACCGAGGTATGTTATTATTATATAGGAACCTCATAATCAATTAAAAATTACGTTCGTGGTAGTTTCAGGAAAGAAAATAGGGAATAAGTAGTAGCAGTAGATATAAAAAATACTATTTTATAATCGTATCGGTATGAGGCAAAACAGTTAATTGGTTTCATTTCTACTTTACGTTTATCGTTAGCATTAGTTATAGTGCGTAGTGCTAGGATATTTTAATTGATTCAATTATATAGGGTTTTAGGGTTGTGTTACTCTGTGATTTTTAAAGATCCTAAACAAGACATTAAATGTCGTAGATCATAGCGATTTACTTATTTATACGTATTATTTTTAAACGCATTTTTACTGGTTGAATCATAAAATTCTTTGGTTTTGAATTTTTTGCAGTTCCTGCACCGAAACCATTTATTTGTCTCACATTTTTTAAAGAACTAGCTAATTTAATTGGCTAATGCAATTATATCGACTCGAAACACTAGAAAGAATGATGAGCATGACGCCTTTGAGTGGAAATTTCTTGTCATAAACTAAATTTTTTTTTGAGGTAACATGATATTCACAAAACGGAAGTTGCACACAGTTACGAGTCAAAAAAAAATATACGATGTATTCGTAGAGAATGATCATTTATTATCTTTTGATAAAGTTTAGAGATAATGAATATTATAACACGAGAACGTAAATACAAAATAAAACTGATTTTAAATTAAAATGTATTAGATGAATTATAATAAAATAGTTCTACTAATAATTAAAATAGTACATCACTTCCTTAAATGAAATACATCGTGTTATCTAGGGAAAAACGAAGAGAAATTTAATTTATAACTTTTAGCATCCTCCATTCAACTAATACCAAAATCAAAATTATCAAATTATCTTATGGCACTGGAAATGCATACCTTTGGCTAAGCTTTCTTTAACTTCTTTCAAAACAAATTCTGTTTCACCACGTTGTTGTTGTTCCAAATGTAATCTAAAACAAGTACAATTATAGTCTGACCAAGCTCAAAAAGTTTGTAAAGAGCACAAGATAGTAATAGACTAATTACCGTGCGCGCTTTGCTGCTAAATGTGCGTAGTCTAAACGATTTGAAACTTGTTATTAAAGTAATCGTCGATGCAATATAAAATAATAATAAATTTAATACATACAGGCAGCAGGTGAGATCGATACTGACCGAGTTGCACTATATATTAAATACATAACTTAATATCAAACTTCTTTTTTATTTTATTTTTTTTAACATAAGAAATAAACGAATTTATACCGTTGATAATTGTAACAAAGTTTATTTGTCAAGTCTTGCAAACTATCGGCGGTAAAATTATTCTCATCAAAAAGAACGTGATCTATAAATTTAAAAATAAAAGTGTAACTTTAATAACTATTATAAAAAAAATTTAAAACCTTACACCTGGGATAAGAACTAAAAACTATAAAAAGTTTTCTAAATGCTTTACTGAAAGTTGACCAAGTTAGTTAGCATACATACAATGTGCTGGACGTGATGTTCCATGTAAACTCGAATGTGATTGTAGGACTAGCAGCATTCAAAAATTTATTTTATACCAAAACAGATATGAGCAGAAGTTGAGAAATAGACTGATCATGAAATGTGGATCAAGCTTACAGAAATCAAACAAATACGGATGCGTTATTTTCTGGTCAACAACTGTACCAGCAACGCAGTTTCCTTTGCTATATGATAGACACGTGAATATTAAGCATATGAATTTTTCGTTCCATTTATTGATTATCAATTTTACCTGTCAGCATCGCGTTCGTGTCGCGGATAAAATCTTGTATGATGTCTTTTACCGACAACTACGAAAGTTATTGGGGGTCTATAGTCTTGTTCCGTTTTCATACAAGCCTCTAAACATTCATACATGTAAATATATTGCATACGACATATAGTTATTAGAAATATTATTGGCATAGTTGCATAAGTAACTTGCCTTTAATTTGTTCAAGTTCATGAGTCAACACCATTTCAAATTGACTTTCAGAAACTCCATCTCGGTACATGATAATTCGTCGAGGTAAAATACTATTTTTATCACGATAATCTCTCAAGATTTCAAACACCATACCACTCATATTTTCAATTTTTTCCTGCCTAGTTTTTTGACTTTCAAGTTTTGGAGTAAAACGACCACCTTGGCGATCGAGTGAACCAACAATTGCACATATAGAAGGCATGTCTACAAATAATGATAATATCATAATTTGCATAAATATCAGTAAAAAGTAATATAGGTAAATTAAGACAATTAAAGACAGATAAATCATACTTGAAGGGCCAGCGCGTCCACCAGTTGGATGAGTAACATCGGCACCAAGCAGCAATACTGGTTCTTTTGCGAAGAGAGGTATTTCGGCATCTTCAAGTGATTGATTTGTTCCTCCCAGCTTTAAATTCATTTTTAATGCAATGTTTGCGCAATATTGTTTGCTTGTCTTCCCAACTTTATCGACTTGGACACATTGTGAAGGGACACCAAGAACCGTATCTGCAGTGTATTTTATTGCTCGATATCGTTTCTCATCATCGTCCGGAAGAATAAACAACATTAATTGAAGATCATTCTTTAGATGATCCCTAGCATTATTATATTCTTGTACAACAAGTTGTTGATAGGTATGTGGTTCACCATTGGGCTTGACATAGTTGACTCTTGGATTGCCTTCAGCGATATCCTAGAAAATAATAATTTATTAGGTTAAATTATAAAAGCGAATACTGTAACTAAAAACAATTCATTACCATTCCTTGACTTCTACTTGTGTTTACAAGTTCTTTTATGAATTGTTTGGCTTGCGAAATTGATAACTTTTGTTGTTGAACAAATGCAACCACCACCCAGTATTGAAGTGTTTTACCACTTCTGACAAACTTTCGATCTCGAAGGTTCCATCCACCTTCACGAGGTTTAACGGTACCACCAGCTTTAGATGTTATGTGATATGATACTTTTGGAGCTTTCAATATGCGAGCTTTAATATTCATTTATTAACGCACAAAAAGGGCATATAATAAATTAGGACTAACATATAAATATAATTGAGAACACAATGTGCGTTATTTATTCTTTTAAACTATAGATGCCTGGAGTTACTGTCATTTTTTCTTCGATACCCATTCCAAATCTTTTCAATTTAAAATCTTTTTCAAATTGCAGGACATTTTGAACACCTTCAGCAATCCTATCCATGTTTTCTTGAGGACGCAATGCTGTATGCTTAATCATATGTCCCCTTTGAGCACTAGATAACTTTGCAACAGGAAATCGTTGACCCTAAATTTTTTTCAATAAGTAAATATTGGATCAAAATGACTACAAATTGGTTTAAAAATAATACCTCAATAATGTTACACAATTCAATTGGAATCTTGTCATTCTTTCGACCTTCAAGTTCGACGAGATGCAAATATTTTAAATATCTATTATATCTTCGCTGATAATAAGAATAAATACTAATTTTTTCTCCAGAATCTGGAATATCAACCATGTTTTCGCGCGCATTAGTGGAACATAACCTTTTAATCTTGAATCGTGTATTGACTTTTGGGCGGTGAATGGCTTTGAATTGCAATCCTCGAACAAGCTCGGAAACTTTATCCTGTTGTTGTTGAGTGAATCGTTCCGGAATGTTGTCTAATTTAAGATACTTCATAATTAGAACATGCAGGGGTCCTGACTCGTAAAAAACGGTATATGTAGTATTAACATTAACAAAATAGCTATCTATTATAGTTATAGTTAAAATATAGAAAAGAAGTTCAATGTGAAAAAAAAAAACTTATTAGTGTTGTTAATGACTAAAATGGATATACCTTGTCCGGGTCTTACGCTTTCAAACCAGCCCATCCACAATTCTACGCCACCACCTAAAGATTTACGCGTCGAAGGTAAATACGTGGATTCACCAAATTGAGTATATTTCATTGACGGCATGTGATGTATTAAAGCATTAAGTCCTCTAAGACCAGCTAAATTTTTATAAAACCACCGAATAAGATAATTAAATAGCTAATAAATTAGTATAAGATAAAGATATGAACATATTTGTTTTATAATCATACCTAAATCAAAATATTCCCATTTCATTTCTTTTCCTTCAAGAAATTTTTTTAATTCACCTAAATCAATTTTATCAATCCTTTTAATTTCGACTTTGTACTCAGTAGGATTGCCTTTGAAATCTTGATCATCTTTTAAAGTTACCTATAGACGTGACAGCAATGAAATAAAATTCGAATAACTACTTATATTAGTAAATATAAAGTGAAAATCGCGTAATTTGTCATACATCTTACCGATGTTGTCCCAGAATCCGAATTTAAATTTAAGAGACCAGTGGAATATATTGTCGTGTTCCCTACATATAGATGAAATAAGCGAGAAAAATCGCGTTCAAATCAATTGTGAACAATGGTCTATGAAGAATTTCAATATGACGGGACTAATAGATAAGACTATTGAAAAAATATAAAAGTACCATCAAAAACGACACCAACACCTTTAAACCAGCCGTTACGCTCTTGCTTTTCTAATTGTTGAAATATAGCACGTTGGACGTGTGCTGGAAGTTGTTTCGGTTGCCTAGAAACTTTTCGGCGATGAGAACCTTCGCCTTCGAATCTTTGCTGTAATTTCATTGTAATCTCATATTTTTCAAAATGCGCTACGTTTGCGATCTGAACCAATAAGTGAATTCGTAAGACAACATAAAGAAGAATAGGTAGACTAGACATACGGAGAGAAAATTACCTTTTTAACTTCAAAGTAATTAGTAAGGAGTTGAGTCTGTCGCCCGAACTTGCCATAACCAGGCCGTTTAGCCATACTTTTTATGGCCTCTTCTCTTAAGGTTTCTTGACGCATGAGACTTATAGTATGAAGGTGAAATTAGTGTTTCTGGCCGGTCAAAAGTTTACCGAAGCAGGTAAAAAAGATCGGTATAATATGTTTGATGAATGTCTACTTACGGCAATTTCCGATATTTACATAGCCTTTGTAAAATCGACAAGCCGATTTTTTTCAAAAAAATCGACTGACCGGGCCGAAAAATCGGCTTAGCAGAATTTTTTTTCAATTATCAGCCAAGATACTTTTTTTGCAAATATATATGCATATTTGATAATGTGAATTTTTTTTTCTTGCAAATATTTCTAAACAAAATACGGTACGCAAGTTATTTGAAACATAGGGACTTTAATATGATTGGATAATTAGATGAAATGTATATCGATATCGGTATATCAATATGTCGATATGGATTGATCAACGTAAAATATCGCAATGTAATACTATATCGAACCTACACGACATAAAAATAAGAAAAATTAAAAACATATTTGATGTAAGACTAAAAAATGGAACTTTCGCGCTTATCACGTGAACAAACGCGTAAAATTTCGATCGACACGCTTATGAATATCGTCAACAATCTAGTATAGGGGTGGGCGGATCGAATCCGCTGCGCAGCATGCGCTGCCTACAGAATTATGCAAGCCAACCTGAATTATGCTGAATTTTAAAAATCGCACTGCGCAGTCTCAAAAATTCTGCGCAGTGGCCCATCCCTAATCTAGTGTGTCTGTACATACCGATACCAAAAAAATAGTAATAAAAAAATTTGGAATGCCATGTGGCAGTGTTGTACACAGGATAGTCGAAGTTTATCGATACTTCAAAACTTTATTAAGACAACTATATATGTTATTGTCCACAAAATGGGCGATGTCCAAGAATCAAGCCGCGCAGCCAGTCATTATTCGATCATCTGATATGAGTTAGATTTTGGTTATGTCCACTTCGCGGATAATAACTGATTTATTCCCGGTTCTATTATACTTTTTCAAAATTAAAGTTGCGTATTTCATAATGTTTAGCTTTACTATTACAAACTTCTTTCTTTTTCTTCAATTTTATTTATTTTTTTAACGAGCAATTTTTACTTTCGTTAGTAACTTTAAAATTTTGTATATCATCAGCACGAAGCATAAGATTTTTATATATTGGCGAGTTTACTTGCCGCCGGTAACAGGCCCAAGCCAATCAGATTGCACGATTCAAAAAAATATTCTTGCCATAAATTTTTACTATATATTATGGCCCTTTCCTTGAAAAACCATTAGTGATACATCAGTGATGACAGTTTTCTTGGCGTTTTGGTATCATGTATCTTGATTATATAATTAATCGTATTTTATTTTTTTTTATACTAGACTAGAGGATAGTATTAGAAGATAGTACTAGAAGATAGAATTTGGGACCGGTTATAATTATAACGTATTAGAGTTTTATTATAACCGGTTATATCTGATTAATCGGTTTTATTATTACTGGTTATATCCGATTAATCGGTTTTATTATGACTGGTTATGTTATATTTGTAGTGGTAGTGAATTGCCCAGATTACACAAAACCTTTGTATGAATTGATTTTCAATAGTCTCTCACCCTGCTCATTCAGCCTCGATATTCTTTGATAATGATTTCCCTCTCGATATAGTAAATTGATCAGCTTAAAATATTTTTTCTGGCATGTTGGTAGCTTTTTGATAAATATTCAAAGGCTTATCTTTTTCAACACCATCTTTGTACTGCTCCTGACTAGTGATGCAGGCGAATCGTCCAAATGATGTCGTAACTTGTCCTAACTATCTCAGTAACATGTAATAATAATTATCGTTATAATAAGTTACGGCATTTTTGCCGTAGCTTTATTATGTTACGTCAAATTATGACAAAAGTTACCTGCACTTCTACTCAAAATTCTTTAGGTTTCATCCTGATGATCCGAATTGCAGATCAACAGATCAAATAGAGTGGGTTGAAATTAGGGATGTTATCCTGTTCACCCAAACTTGGTTCGGCCCCTGTTTGAAACCCTAACCAATTAAACTCAATTAAACTCGAGTTTTGTAGTCATATGATTTTAATTATCATATTTCAAACTCTCGTGCTTAAATTGAGTCTGAAATCTATTTGACGAGCAAAAGGCTTTTTTATTTGTAAAACAACAGAAACCGTTAATGTTACGCATATTAAAAGTGGTAAAGGATTATATCCATCACAATTGAATCCAACATAAATAACTTAATTTGTGATTGATTACAGGCGAGAATGATTCACTTTGGATCGGGGACTGTCTCTGCTGTTGATTTGTAATTGATTTTTTTTTCTTTAACTTTTAATTAAAAGTTTATTACCATGCATGATGTAATATGACGATATGACTCATTTAATTAAAAATTAAATTTCTAGCGATAATGAAAATCAGATTTATTAATTGTTTTTTTTATATAAATATGTAAAAAGATCTTTTTTTTTCTTTTTTATTTATTTAATTTATTTAAACCTTGTGTAATGAACGAAAAAATGATACCAGAACAATTTGAACCTTGTGTGAGTAATGAAACAACTATATTTGAACAATTTGTTAATGTGAATGCAATTGAGATTACTTTCTCTTCAAGTTTGATATTTCAAGTTGAACTTGAATCTAATATATTCAAAGAAATAACAAGTTATTTTTAAAAGTGATTAAAGAAGGATCCTTTCTGAGACAAACTTACTGAAACTGATGACAAATGTCATTGCAAACATTGTCCGAGTTCCTATTTAATAGATACAGGTCTCTTGATAATTAAATTACATTTTAAACATAATTATTCAGAAAGGTAAAATGAATTAAATAATGTTATAAAGACAAATGTTGAACTATATAGTTTTAAAATGATTATACAAATAAATCAATATTTTTTTAAATGGATTATTACAGATTAGCAAACATTTTTTATTATTAAAAAATAAAGATTTTCAACTGTTTATTAATAAATTAATATTATGTTATTCTTTTTCATCAAGACAATTTGTTTTATATAGCATTTTAAAATTATATCATGAAAAACAACATGATTTTAATACAATTCAGAAAAAATTTGTAATAATGATTAATGTTTGGACTTTATAGATCAATACTAAATTTCTTGTTATTATATTTCATTGTATTGATGAAGCCTGAACAATGAAATAAAATTTATTAGATATAATATTACTATATAAACAACATATTGCTAATTATATAGTTGAAAAAATTTTAGAAACAATATCATTTTATAATATTAGTTCTTGTATTATATCTATAACTACCAATAATGTATCTAATATGGATGTATTTGGATGTGTAGTTTGTGAAAAACTTTGTTATGATTATAGTAATAAGAATTTTAAACATGTTTGCTATACAGTTTATATATTAAAACTTTTAGTTCAAAAGTCATAAAAATTACTATTAATTCAATCACAAAGTTAAAAAATTTTACAAACTATATATATAAATCTTAATCACTATTTGAAGACCTCCAAAGAATTTTTTAAACAAATAAAAGGTCTTTTTTAGTACCTGACTTAGATATATATATTTAGTAAAATAGTATAATTAAAAAGATGTTTAGAATTCATAAAATAATTGATAATTTGGTTAAAAATAATCCAATATTAAAGAATTATTATCTAAATGATAATAAATAAAATAAAATTAATATGAATTACTAGTATTATGATAAAATCCAAAAAAGAAATTATGATAATAATATATTTTATAATTTTCTTTTTAAAATTAAATCTGCAATATGCATTTAAGTCTATATATTTAAAATTTTATAAAATTTAATTTACTTATCTTTTATATAGATAATTATTATATTACTTGAACTAATAACTAAAATTATACCAATTTTATCTTCATTGACTCATCTAACAATAGGAGATTTACATTTAATATTTTTAATAGTTTTAAATTTTTTACATAAAACATTAAAAAATGAGATTTAAATAAAAAATCAAATTACATAATGAATGTACAAAAACTTAATAATTATTAAGTCATTCTTTAAAATTATTACAATATTTTTGTTGTATTAGATTCAAGTATAAAATTATCATTTTTTAATAATGAAATAATACTAATTATATGTGAACTTATATATAAAATTTATATTTGATATTCAAAAGAAGATATTTACTCCTTATTTTTTACTAAAGATACTAATAATTTTTTAAAAAATTGTTTTCAAAAGTTTCATAATAAAAAATTAAAAAATAATATTTACAATATTCTTGAAGAATATCTTATAGCTATTAAAAAGAATTGTAACCTATTAGATTTTTGAAAAACACAATCTGCTGATACACATTATTCTAGGCTTATAAAGATAACACAGTACCACTTGATTATACAAACTACAAGTGTTTTTAGTGAAAAAATGTTTTCTAAAACAAAGAATATAATTTGTCTAATATGTAATCAATTATCTGAAAAGAATGCTTATGCAAGTCTTTGCTTAAAAACTTGATATAAATCAGATATTATTAATTGTATAAAAGGTTGATAAATTAAATAAATAATTTATAGTTGTAATGAAATAAATATTATAAATATTTTTTTATGTACTTAATAGTGATATATAGTTTATATATTTAATAAATAATAACATAATTCAGATCAACATGTTTAGCAAATATAATTAATAATAAACAGAATTTAAGATTCAGTTTATTATGTATGCTTTAAAACAATGTTTAACAAATTTTTAAGCACAAACTAATCAGTTTAAGCAGAATAACATCCTTAATAATAATTGTGATTACAAAGTTATTATAATTGTAAAAAACTTTTAGTTGTTTAATTTTATATATTTATTTACTATTTATAATAATCAATACTAAATTTCTGTTTATTTAACTTTTTTAAAAAATAATTATCTAAATTAGTTAGTTTTATAAATAAAAAATTAAAGTACTAACTAAAATAATAAACTTTAAAATCATAAAAAAAAGAAATAATATTTACAACAAGTTATTTATTGTAGATTT